GCTTACATACAAATTCGACTTAAGGACAGACCTTGGGAACAGAACTTGTTCTTAAACTGGGTACTACTTGTATTTATTTATTTATTTTTAGATCGTCCAGCAAGATCATGTTTCTTTTGCCTCTGTTAAGCTGCTAGACATTTTAGGTATTTCATTTAGAAATAAATGCTTTTCAGGATCACTCATAACATTTCTCCAAGATCTGCACTGAATTCTTGGGGCGGTAATATACTGTTACAAGGTTGTTTACAAGTCAGAAGATAGAGCACATTTTATAAAATGTCCCCAACCTAAATGGCTTATTTTTTTCTTATGCTAGCAGCCTACTTATTTCCTAACTTCCTAATCAGAAAAATGGGCTTTTAGGAGAAGGCTATGAATGTTGATACACACAAGTAGAACATATTACACATTTAACTTTGATAGTATTCCCTTGATCCTGTTATGCAGCTTTTTGCTTGTTTGTCTTACGAGCCAGCATAGGATGGAGTTGCAAAAAAAACAAAACAAAAAAAACCCTACCCAGGTAACCCAAACTTCTTAAATTTTAGAAGTAGAGTTTATTGAGATGATCTTTTCTTTTCTTTTCTTTTCTTTTCTTTTCTTTTCTTTTCTTTTCTTTTCTTTTCCTTTTCCTTTTCCTTTTCCTTTTCCTTTTCCTTTTCCTTTTCCTTTTCCTTTTTGGCTGCTCCTGTTAGATAACTGGGAATTAGCAGTTTTGGTCCATCTACTGTAAATCATGCACACGTTTACCAACAGATCCAGACCCTCTCTTTTGCAAAACCACCTACATATTATCCACCCATCTGCAGCACAGGCATTGATAAGACATACAATCCCATCCAAGCACTCACTAAGCAGCTGGCAAACCCGATGCCGCCTAATCGAGGGCAGATGTAATTCCACACTCCTATGCTGCCCCGGCGGATTCTCTGCCCTACAGCCAGTTCCAGGAAAAAGAGGGGGAGCCCAATCAGGATGAGCAGGACCAAATATGGGACGAGATAAGCACCTGAAAGGGAAAAGAAAGTTTCGTTAGAGATGTTATTTCTTTTTCTGACCCTGAACAACCTGAGGCAGACTGAATAGCACGCATGGGGGGAAAGGTTTAAAGACCCATCTGGGGTTTCAGACAGTAAGCGGCTTTGGTCTGGCACTTCAGAACGAGGCCGCATTTTTGTTCAGCTCTGAAACAAAACCTTCAGAGTTTCACACCTTTTTTTATGGAGAAATAAACACATGGCACAACATTTTTGTTTCTGTTTTAAAATGGCAGACTTGGATCATTGAACCCTCTCTGAGGGAATGACATCTAGATAAAAACAGGCAGGGAGATGTACTGTAGATTTTCTGAAAAGAGAAGGAAATTCACATCAAGACTGAAAGGAAAAGTTTTATGCTAAATCAAGGTGGTGGTTTTTTTTTATTTTAAATATTTCTTGTAATTCATGCTAATTATTGTTCTGTGAATTGCAAGGTGGGGGGCAGGCCTTCTCAATTGTTATATCCCTTTTTTTCTTTTTTTTTTTGGCATCCTTCCTTAAATCCAACCAGCCCCAGCCCTGCTGGGATTTACAAAAGCCATTAAAACCTGACTGTTTCAACAGATTTTAGGGGCAGATACGTTATGAGGTTGCTCCCTCTTGCAGTTGGGATGGTTTGCTTAATGGAATTTTAATTGTTCCTTGATGCATTCTGGATGTTGTTTGTTACGATTTAATTGGTATTTCACTGTTTTTAGTACTAGGGTTGGATAATGGATATATAAGCCACTCAGGGTCTGTAATGATTTCCGCAGCATATAAGCCATATAGATGGGTGGATGGATCAGCAAGCTTTTGACAATAAATGTACATGCCTATTGGAAAGGCTGCCATCAGCTTTCATTTTCAGACAGACATTCAATGAATGTGCTAAGCCATCATATGCTTTGTTTGGTTCTGACTCAGCACAATGTACATTGTATACATATTTCGTAGCTTAGCATATGGTGTGAGCCCAGCCAAATGTGATTTGTTTAATAAATGATGGTTAAGCAAAATATTGTTCAGCGTGGTATCTGAGCCAGTCAGCGTCCTTATCAACCTCACATCTACCATAATCGTATGCTGCCTTTTGCATTTATAGTTCCCACAGCAGCTATATGCTGAGAAAGAACAATTCCTGGAAGTGCTGGATGAAACTTCTTCATAAAAGACTCTTTAAACAGCAGCACTATCATTCTTAGGTTAAGTGGACAGATTGGAATTAACTGGTTGGTTGAGAAATATAAATAGCTGATCAGAAAATCTAAAAATACTCCCCACATTAATATTCCAAGCACATTCAACATCAGCAGGATTTTAAAACCTCCCTTACTTTCAGTAAGCCAGATAGGCAGCTTGGGAAAAAAATAAATAAGGACATCCCCATAACACTACTGATTTAATGCTTGACACAGTTGTGAGTGAGCTAACCCCACACCCCAAATCTTTCTTACCACTGTGTCAGCTCCAAACATGTTGTATCTGATAAAAAGTCCCACTGACCAAACAAATGACAGCCTATTTTCCCCATGGCTGCAGGAAAACAATATAACCGCTGAAATACCTTCTAAAGCAGTGTTTCTCAACCTTGGCAACTTTAAGATATGTGGACTTCAATTCCCATGCTGGCTGGGGAATGCTGGGAGTTGAAGTCCACATA